CTTAGTACAGAGCCTTACACCTAAATGGAGTCAACCTGGTCTGTTACAGGGCAGGAGCCTGACAACCCAGCCCTTCAAATACTTATACCTGTGTGTAATTCCTGGTAGAATTAGGAGACAAGGGCCAAATGCTGCAACTGGATCCCTTCTAATGGATCCCAGTGTCCACGTGCAGAAGTCAACAGTGCAGACATTTCTGGAAATCCAGTCACAAGCTCTGTGCTTAGATCATAATCCAGGGATCTTAATTATACCCTGAATCACAGAGAAACCTCATGGTTTGCTATTCCTATTGTATATCATTTCATTATATAATACATGTTAGTTAAAGGGAAACTGTCAAGTTGTAACCCATTTTAAAAAGAAAACAGTTGAAGTAGCCTTGGTCTGCCCTGGAACGTCCTGCCAATTTTACAACCACATTTTCTTTTTTTAAATGATTTTTTTCCCCAGTGTTGCTGTGTGAAAGAATCCCCACCCAAAGCCACCAGAGTAAAAGTGAGCAAAAATAGCACTGTCAAATAGATGCAGTATACAAACAGGAAAAAAAAAAAGAAATATGTTTTCTCCAATCTAAGCCATTGCCATCTCAGGTATTTAAACTATATATGTATTTTCTAAAGGCAGGAACGATTTTTGTTCTAGGAGGTGTTAGTGTCTTCTTAATACATAGATATCTTCCTAATACAGTAACTCAGAACTAATAATGATCTGGTTCACTAATTTCTCACCTGGAAACAAAAGGAAAATGGAAACAAAAATCTCAGATTGACACCACCCTGCTCTCTCTGCCTGGCCTGGCTTCTGAGCAGCAGCTGGTGGCAGGGGTTGAGCTGGATTGCACACCACTCTTCCTGCCTGGGGTAGGGATTGGCAGGGGGGGGTGTCCTGGATTTCCTTAAAAGTAACATGGTCACCCTAGTTATACAGCCTGAAAAAACATGCAAGTATGTATATATTTAATTTGTAATTACACACTTCAAGGCCATTTTATACTGCCCAGGTATTTAGGACCATAAATGAGCATCAGGCCTATGGTGTTTTCATCATCTTTTTTGATTTCATAATAAGGAAGTGACTTCAAAAGTGTGTCAAGGGGATGTCAGAGACATGTTAAAATTTATGTATTTTCAAAGGAGATGATTAATGTGAGGAGTGTGATGGAAAGAAATGGAAGACAAGTTAGGGTAGGAAGTAGCTGAGGAATAGTCTGGGGGAGAATAATTTTTAATTAGGTGTTAAATTAGAGATTCCCCATATAGTGTTCCCTAGAGCTGTCAGCCTACAGGGAGCTGGTTAGTCACATTGTGCTGTTACTTCCTTTTGATTTCCAATCGCTAGGTTACTTTAAATGAAACTAACCTTATGTTAAATACTTTCAAAACATGATTTTTTTCATAGGAAGAATTGCTGAAAGTGTCACAAGGGTGCAGTTGCTCACTAAAATGTGGTCCATGCCATGAACATTTTCGAAAGCTTATGGACAAAACTGCCATTCTATAATTGTTATGTTTTATAGCTCAAGCATTTTAATTAAAATGAAAAATCATGGACAGCTAGATCCTTTTTTTTTTTTTTTTTTTTAAAGTATTAATGCACCTAAAGTGCAGTTAGATGCCTAATGGGATTTTAAAAGTGCCAAGACACCTAGCTGCTGTTGATTTCAATGGGAATTAGATATGTTATCACTTATTAAAAAAATCCTCTAGACACTGAGTTGCATTTTTAGATGGCTAAGTACCTTTAAAATGTTGGGCCTTAGCTTCTGCTTCTATAGTTTACGGTGTCCTTAAAATAATTAATTGGATTTGCTGTAAAGCCCTGCCCAGTATGGGTGAAGATATCTTATATTATGTACTGTTCTGTTGTCACTTTGTTGTTATTTCTGGTATCCAGATTAAGTGGTAATGCAGATACCATTTTTACAACCTTATTACACGATTTCCTATAATATATCTTCTTACAGAAGCAGCTAGTCTTACTAGTTTCTATAAACAAAATTACCTCAGTGAAGATGAATACGCTACTCGAATGCTCAACAGGTGGCCTTGGAAGTGATGCAATAAATGAATGTAATTTAGTACTGCTAAATCAGCTGAAGTCTGAATGGAAAAAAAAAACTTCAAGTGCTAACCAATGAACTCCTTTGGTTTTGCTTTCCTAAGCAAACACATATAGATGCTGAATTGAATATTTCAATTTGGAACCTGGGAGGTTTGAGGTTGAAATGAGTAGCTGTGCACTTTTTTATTAACACAAAGCAGCCACAAGCTAAACCAGAATAGCCTGAAACACTTATTCAGAGGACAAGACGTATGTTTCCTTACTGCTCTGCCACAGTTAAACTTTGTCTTTCAACCATCTTGCCAGCAGACTACGTTTCCTGTTGCAAAGCTCTGTTGGGCTTCTCAGCAAAAGTGGGTTCTCTGTGCGCAGTTTTAAATGTTACTCAAACTTCTTAAGTAGGTACCAAACCTTCAAATTACATTTACCCTTTAATTATGAAAGGTTGAATTCCTTTCACAGGTTCCCCAAGATGCATGAATCAGGGAAGTCAAATTCAGATCCAGAATTTGGATAGATGCAGAACTGAACTTCCAGAAAGAGCGCTATACCCACCTGTATTCTAGATATGCAGGTGCATCTGATGAAGTAGGCTGTTGCCTATGAAAGCTTATGCCTCTCTGAACTAGTTAGTCTCTAAGGTGCCACCTGCCCTTCCCTCCTCTGCCTGACTTCATACTAGCAAAGCTAACTACCTTTCTCTATTACAGATATAGTTATAATACTATTCTTGCCATGGGCCTGATGGGTTTTCTGTGTGACGAAACTGCCGATTCTACATGGGTTGTTTACTAATGACACTTTCGGACTATCATGCATGTGTTGCTTCAATCACAATTGTAAATGATCAGAGGACGAAATTGTTGGATGCCTTAATCATTTATTGCCTGACACTATGCAAAAGAAGAAAAAAAATCACTGTGCAGACTATAAGATTTTTCTGAGTTATTTGCTTGGATTTTCATTTTTTTTTCCCCAGACCAGTTTATTTTGAACAAATGCTGATCAAGTCGCTTTGAAAGCTAAGATGTGGTGGAATTTTTAAAGATGGCTCTAGGCTGCATTGGATTATATTTCCCTTAGTAATAAACCATACCAATTAATCTTCATAGGATAGGGAGCCAGAAATGGTAGTGTTAGAATGATGTGGTAGCTGTGGTGGTCCAGGAAATATGCAAGAGGCAAGACCTGATGAAATACGTCTTGCATTCCAACTATGCAGTTGGTTCAATAACAGATATCACCTAAGGAAATCCTTCCCTCTTGTACATGAAAGTCACTGGCATTGCTCTGGCAGTGTAAGGGTTTCTGGCCTAAACAATAATCAAGCTTCTAGTGTATATCCACTCTGTTCTGATAAACAACTACACAAGGTGTAGGGCAATGGTAAATTGAGTCCATAGAATCCAGTCCATTCACATTCAGGTGTACGTGGATCTTTTGGGGATTATAAGATACTGAAGTAGTAAAAATTGTATTGCCATCCCCACATATTCCAATATTATGGATCAGATTCCAAAAATATATGAGACTGTCTTTAAAATCTCACCATTGGAAACCAATATTTGATCTGCTTCTTGGCCTTTTAGCCTTTTGTAACCTTAAGGACTATAAACATAAGCAAAGAGAGAGCTGGTATTCTGCTGTTTTCAAGTGATTATAGAGTCTGTCGCATGAAAAGCAAAAACTAAGTACTGATATCACAAGACTTGTGATAAATTCAGGAGAATGTAGACACTGCAAAAAAAACACTCAACAGCAACAACAATAAAGAAAATATCACAGCCTTGTTTTTGTCATTAAAAGTAGATGGATATGGCTCTTAATACACAGAGGGAGCAAATCTGCTCAGGAGGAAGGGCCTTTTATACCACAAGAGGCAAGGATTTTTCTTGGATATTTTCTGGACCACCATGGCTATAACATCACTTTTTTACAACTGACATTTCACAGCAGAACCGCACTTTAAGATTGCAAAGTGCAACAGGCTGCAAAAGAAATGCACATCAAATGGAGTTAACGGGAAGATGGTTATGCTCTTTTTTTAAAAAGGCAGCCTAGCTGATTCTTTGCAGTATCTTCATTGGATGAACCTAAAACATTACCCATATTAACTAATTTTACTGAACAGGAAATGATTTTGTGTTTTTTATATTCTGACTTGAATCATTTTTATTCTTTCATGAACGTTAGTTGAATTTCAGAAAAATCCTATTTAAGCATAACCCACTCTTTTTGACACAGTAAAAGATATATTAGATGCATGGCACTGGAGAAAAAAGAATTGGCATGCAAAAATGCAGATGTAATATTTACATGTTCATGAAGAGTTATGTCCTTATGAGTCTCAGTAAGGTTGTGATTGGCCTAGAATTTATGAGAAAATTATTTAGCAAGTATTCACTAAACACTGCTTGAGCCCTGTAGTTCTTTGCAAGTGATATCACTGCTTTAACACTTTCATCAGCACCTGTACACAGACTTCCAGCAAAATTATCTTGGCAGAATATGCAGTGGTTTGGGGAGACGTTTTAGAGCATCATAGAATCAAGCTAGGAAGTCTGACTGACCTGTGGATGAGTTATGAATTCTCTTTGGTTCCTGTGTATCAGAGTTAATTACTAAGTTCCATTTACATGGTCCAATACTTGTGCAAGCCAGTAAAAATGAGATTGCATCCCTGTTGCTGAGGGCACCGTTGCTCTTTACTTACACAATCCAAGTTGAATTTTCAGGGCTGTTGTTTTACAAGTAAAGGTTTTTTTTAAAATCCATATAGTGTGTAGGTGGGACCTGGGTACTTGGGATGTTCTGATTCCTTATTCAGGTTCAGACCTATTTTCTGATTTGTTTTCAGGCCTTTCTCACCCCTCTTCCCCCATCAGTGTATTGTGCCAGTATAGCCAAGTTGTATCTCTGAAAGCTGCTTTAAAAATATGGGACCACGTCCAGCATTTGAAACAGGACAACGTACATATCCTCAAGAAATTTCCATTGTCAGCTTGGTATACTTTAGTGCACCCTTAAATCATGTCACTTTATAAAATCAGAAGTTCACACTGATTTTTTTCATACTACTGTTTCATTGCTGTTGGCTTTTAGCACGTGTGGAGTGAAAGTGAGGACTGCTTACCTTTTCTGCAGCTGGCACAGGACTACATCTCTTCCTGTGGGAAAAAGACACTTCATGAAATACTGGAAAAAGTCTTCAAATCATTCAGACCAGTAGGTGCATGTTTTACTTCTAACTATTTGCTAGATCTGCGATTTTAGAAACATGTTATTAGTAAGCAAGACAACCTTTTCACGGTGAATTCTTTGTCCAGTCAGTTGCCTTTGCAGTAACTCACATGAACTAATAGCAGATATATAGGGTGTGGGGTCTTGGTGGAGAGGGGAGGGTTGGGGGGGGATAAATTTAACTGCCTTTTTATTTTTTGCTCTATATTTGGCAAATTGAGATTCTCAGTTTTGGTGGGAAGCAGTTTGATATCACAGCTCATAGAATCCACTTCTTACCCATAGGATAAATTGTATGCTGTTTCTATAGGGTCGAGTATGAAAAATGCTATATTAGTCAACTGCAGGATTGTGGTAGATTCATTTCCTAGCACTGGTATTTGGGAATTTTGCAAGTGTCTGAATAGAGAAAGTGCAGCCTAGAAAGCTGGGGAAATACAGTTATTCCCACTGATATTTGAAGTGTCTAATAAGTGTCTAATAGAAAAATATTTGTCTATTTTAGCTACTTGACAAGTGATTGGCATAGAAGTAGCATGGGTTTTGTTTTTATTTATTTTTTCCTGCTCATCCATCCATATATAATGGATAAGACAGAGGGACAAAGGTGCCTTATGTTCCTGCAGTAGCCATTCACTTAAAAACCGTTGTTAAAACATGGATTTGGTCAAAAAAACCCGTTGTACAGCTTCTCCATTGAGGGGCCCAATGCTGGACTAACAGGAGCATTACACAGGAAAATAGAAGCTCATTGGCAGAGTCATGTCTTTTACCGTAGCACCTTAATCATGTCTGGATATAGAAAATCTGGTCAGCATGCTTTTGAATGAAACTATTTCAATTTTAAGTTTAGACGAAAAATTAATTTGATATATTTTATATTATTTTGTTGATTTGGACCAGCTAAATCATGAACATTTTAAATCCCAGTAATTTAATGGAAAAGGCAGGGGGACAGAGTGCTTATATGAAAATACTTGACTTATAAGTATGTGACTTTATCCTACTACACTCCTACAATACCACTGAAGCCAAGAACTGGTCAAGATGAAATAATTTAATTGAAAATAACCTTTTGAGAATGGAAATGAAGACAAGTGGATGCACAGTTTTCTTAGAAGGGTCTAGAAATTCCACAACTCAGTGCATATGCTTTTAGGTATAGTAAACCTATAAAAATATAAGTATACGTCCTAGAAAATTCAACTTGATCTTGAGACAGATTTTCATTCTTGGTACAGCAGCAAGATTTTTTTTCTATAAGAGAGTTCTGCTGGTTTGACTAACAGAGATTTCAAATTATTTCAGTGAAATTGCTCACAGAAGGTTTTGCATCATCCTTATTTCAGTTTAAAGAAAAATTATTTGTTTTAAATTGAATCAATTATAAAACACTTCATGCTGAACCAAATCAAAGCACTCTTTGAAACTAGAAGAACATCAGGTGTGAAAATCAAAAACATTAGGATAAATTAATAATCAGAATTTTGTGTAATAGGTGGGTCCCTTACCCCTGTCTTACGTGCTACCTCTTGATGCCACTTCTCACCCCTCCCTACTAACACACCTCCTTAGTCTTCTTTCAGCCATCTCATGTATTGTTTTAACCATCCAGCCTCTTTGTGGTTTCCTCGACTTAATAGTTCCATATCTATCTACCTATCTATAGAAGTGTGTGTGTATGTATGTATGTGTGTATAATATATATATATATATATATATAATGTGTATGTATGTATATTTGTAATGTACACACAACCATATGTATAGAACCTACACAAAAGATTCTAACTCTTCTGTTCCTCACATACAGGCAGAGTATTCCATACTCCCACAGTCCCTACAGCTGTGTAGTCTTTCATTGTTTATCTTGTATTGTCTCTTCCATTGTTTATCTTTTTAAGCAGAGACATCTGCTGCTGCTCAGGAACTAAAACAGCATAGGGAATCCAGGTCTTCTCAGCTCCAGCAGGCCCAACCTATAGCTTTGGCTGGACACCCTCATTAGTTATGCTCTGGTGCAACTCAGTACAGTTCAGTACAAGTTCCCTGGGTCTGTTCTGCATCTGTTGCTTTGTGACACAAACACCTCCCATCTTGTACTGGCTTGCCTACTAGATCCTGTTGCTCACACCATCACTCCTCAGCTTAGCCACCTTCAGTCCATCAGCAGTGGGGGCTCTCATCCCTCTGTCCCACTGTCCCAGTTACTTCCCTACTCTCTAGATGTCCAGTGGGAGCTGTCCAGCACCAGTGCTGGAAGTCCTCACTTTGGTGGGCATAGAGCTCACTGCTCTTCTCATGTGCCTCCTTTTATATCTGTACAGGTGGGCAGGACCAGAAGTATCTGGCCTTAGAAAGCAGTCTCTTTTCTGTTGTCCTCCTCTTCCTCGAATGAGTGAATTCATGCATTGAGCTCTTGGTTGAGTTAGAGCATATTGTTTAGAAAGGCATCCAATCTTGATTTAAAGACTTCAGGTCCTGAACCATCCCATACATCCCTGTGAAAAAAGTCAGTCATGTTTGTAATCTGAATTTTTCTAGCTTCAGTTTCCCTCTACTGAATATCATTATGCTTTTGTCTGCTAGATTAAAGAGTCCTCCACTACCAGAAATCTCTTCCAGGTACTGACAGATTGTAATCAAGTCACCTCTTCACCTTCTCTTGGATAAACTAAATAAATTAAGCTTCTTTAGTTTCTTTAAGGCAGGTTATCTAGACGTCAGCAAACGGGTTTGCATTGATATAACTAAGACAGTTTAATTCAGCTGGTAAAAGATTGTATGTAGATAGGGTGGGATGCAGAGAAATGTTGCTGAATAATTTTCACTCTGTCACTCTACTACAGAGTAAAGGCGGCACCCACAAAACAGGTGGAGTTCCTTGTTTGTTTTTTAAATAAAAATACTTTCATCAACTGGTCTATACCAGGAACAAACATTTTCAAACCTTCATGGCTGCCAGATCAAAATAAAGTTTTCATGCGTTTATGGGAAGACACTGCCCTTCCCATAGGACAGTTTTCCTCCCCCTTCAGCGCTTGATCTATTTTTTTAATATTGGCTTGAACGCTTCTTCAGGTAATAGGAAAAGTGTATTTTGTGTGCTTCCCTTTCAGACATGACAAGCCTTGCTGCTGAAACTTAATTTTAAAAACTTGCCGTGAGGCAGACACTAGGCCTGGCATATTTCAGCTTGGAAAATGGAACTTTAGAAAAGGTATCAACTAGTAAAGATGGGGGCAAATGTTTTAGAATTGACGAGTTATTGTTGTAAGGCTTGGTTTGGGTCTTTAGAATAGAAATGGTTAGGAAACTTTTGCTGTAGCTGCTGCTAGCTTTCCATTACTCCTTACTGTGAGGTTCTCAGAATTTTTTGCCACCATTAATTCGATCTTGCTATAGCTCTGTACAGTTCATGTGTAATAATTGTTCATATGCATAATCTACCTCAGAGATACCATGTAGGTTAATTTAGTTAGACTCAGTCAGCCTTTTGCTTTCATGAGTGGAGAATTCACTTCTGTAGATCTTCTAGGTGACACAGCTGAGAGGGCAGTTCCATCGTCCTGGCATCATTTTCCCCCTCTCTTTTCCCAGCCAGAGTGAAAACCGTTCTGCTATTACCCAGGATTGGTGCTTCACAGAGATTACAAGGGAGATGTGATGTGGAGGAGTCAGTGTCTGTGGAATGTCCCCACATTGCTGCTAGCCCGTTTTACTCAATGACATTTCTGCCTAGACTACCCACTAGATTTTATGTACTTAGTTTCATTAAAGGCTTATTTAGATTAGATTTAAAACGTGTTAGTTAAAGTGTATCAGCTGACATCATACGTTTAAATCCTTTCCTAGACAAGGCCAAAATGTTCTGAACTGCTTTTCTCTGGTGGGGATGATTTGAGAAGAGAATCTAGAGCTTCTTTTTCTTCTTATTGTTCCCTGGGCTTTTCCCACAAGTGAATACAGTTTGGCACTTACTCTTTTAAAGTGCTCTAAAAAGATTATCATTTATTTATTTGATGAGCACCCAGAAGTGTGTCGGGCATGATACAGACAAATAAAAATAATACTGATATCACCTCCGTCCCAAAAATTCACCACCTTAGAGTGTGCTGAGACAAGAGTTTTTGGTTAGGGTTGACAATGGTCATTCCCTCTACCTTAATAGAACCCCTATCACCCTTTGGATTTAAAACTCCCTCTGTGATATATTATAAACCAAGGTACAAAGCAGGGCAGATATGCTCATCTGAGACCTGGGACTGTTAAACCCAGTCATCTCAGCTGAGTTGAATTTGCCTTGTTTCCTTCCTTGAGGATAAAAATGTTCAGTTTTTCTTCTTCAACTTTTCCCTGCAGAAATAGCATTGTCCAAAGGAGATAAAGAATAACACGAGTTGGATGAAATGTGATAGTGTCTCATGCACTTTTATAGAATCCTTCAGGAGGCACGGTAGAAAAGCTTCTCAAAACTTACCTCAGAGACATCTAATAAGGGTTTTTTATATTATCTCCCATAGAATGTGATTAGAGAGGAAGTGTCTGTCATTTTAAATTTCAGATCCATTTTAATCCCCAGCTCTTGCAAGCCCCTACCCAAGCCTGTGTGTGTGTTTTTGTGGGAAATAAAACTTTTTTCCTTCTCAGAAAAACAGCAGTGTTCCGGCTTCTCAGGCACAACTTTCTTTCATCAAGCCATTCTAGCTTCTGAATGCGGGCTACAATGTGTTTATCCTGTGGTTCTAAGCACCTATGTTTGCCTCAAAATTGATTCAGGCATGAATAAGTCAATGCATTCATATTATTGTTTTAGTGGAAAATACTAACAATTCTTGTACTTCTGTTTTTAATACTTTCTTGTTTGTCAGATGTTGATTAAATATATTATCACCCTTTACCATACCTATTGCTTATACCAGGCTTGTCCAATATGTGGCCCGTGAGCCACCATGCGGCCCTCCAAGCTGTTTTCTGAGGCCCGAGGTGCTGCAACGGGAAATTAAAGTAAACACTGTACTTTCGTTTCGGGGGGTGTGATGTGTTACCGCTTCCTGTGTTGTCTTTGAATATGGTTCGCCAGCCCACTGGGTGATAAAAAGTTCATGATCCAGCCCCACATTCAAAGAGGTTGAACATCCTTGGCTTATACGTTAATGGATTGTTTGCATAGCACCATGGTTATACAGTACACTTTGCAATCATTACAACATATCTGGAAAAACCATAATCTTTGCTCACAACATTAGCCATGTATCCTAAGCTGGGAGCAAGAGTTCAGCCACCCCTGCAGTGCCAGTGTCTGCTCCTATACCCCTTTACAAAATCCAGGTTGTCCCATGCTACTGGTACTCTTGATTTACATGCACATAAATTAGAGAAGGAATTGGGCTTGCAGGCTGGCAAGATGTGAAAATACAACACCAACCCACTCACTGTATTAGCTGTTGCATAGTGTGAATGGCCTTAGCATTGTGGGGCAGCCCAGCAGAATAAATCCCATGGTACCATAATTACCATTCAAGGCATGGGGTCAAGCTAAGGGGTATAGGGAGGATTTGTAAGATGATTCTTTGGAATAGATCTCAAACTTCACATAATTGTTTTGCATAAAGTAAGTGTGTGTGAGAGAGAGAGTGATGAGAGAGAGACAGACAGGGAGAGAAATCAAAGATCACACTCCCTAATTATCTTTTTCAACCCTCAAGATGATATATTTGTGTATGTTTACACTTTCAGTGCTAATATTACAAGGAAAGGGGCTAGAAACTTTTTATTCCAAATAAAACTACAATTTTCTTTATGCAGGGTTTTCCCCCACTAATCAAGAAAGAAAAATGGTTATAACTAGAGCTGGGCAATTTTTTTGTCAAAATCTTTTAGCTGAATGAAGCATATTTAGATTGACTGAAACAATTAGTGATTTCATGTTGAATTAATCAAATTGTTTCAGCCTGAGAAAAAATACAGAAAAAATGTAAAAAAGTCCAAACTTTTGTTTCAATAGTTTTTAAGTTAACTGTTTTACTTCTTCATTTTAAAACTATTCTTTGTTTCAAAATTCGCCTGAATTGAATAGTATATGGTTATTTTTCAGGATTTTTAGCTTTCTTTGGGAACAGTTTTAACTGTCTTTGGGCCAAATATTTCCTTTGGCCCAAAGTGAAACTTCTGGGGCTCTTTGTTTTGGCTAGGTGAGAAATGCCAAGAAGCCCAAAAAAGTGATGTTTCCATAGTTGTGCTTAAAAATAGGGGTGCACTGATAGAGACTTTGGGGGCCAATACTGATAGCCAATTTTTAAGGAGGCATATTGGCCAATGCTGATCTGATTTCCGATACAGCTGTGTGCAGCTGGTAAGTCTGTTGTGGTGGAAGGGGAGGGGGGGAGGGAAGGGTTGG